AAACCATGCGGGTCTATGTCTTATGGCACTCTCCGACGAGGAATCCGACCAAGAAAGCTTTGAGGTAAACTTTGAAAATTTTCTATCCAAGTTTGACTCTCTATCCAAAACCAAAACTCGGAAGATTTTCAAAAGATTGACTATTGAGCTTAATGAAAGCCTTTCCGAAAACGATCATCTTAAATCACGTGTCACTGAGCTTGAGTCTAAACTCGAGGAAGCCACGAGAGCCAAAATAAGGCTTGAAACAAAAGTGGGAGAGTTAATAGATGAAAGGCTTAAGTACAGTGAAGTGGTTCTAGAACAAGATCAAATTATTTGTTCTCTTAAGCTCGATAGTATGAACAAACAAGTTGATCATGATGAAAAGCTTCTCTCAAAAATACCGAGTGTTGGTTGTTTAATTGATCATCTTCATCGTCTTGTTGCCGAGTGCACTGATTTTAAAAATAGACCGGAATATCAATCATATAGTGCAACGAACAAAACCAGGTCTAGACATCATTCTGGAACTGGTCCCTCTCAGCACAATAAGAAAGTAAACGAGACTGCAGGTCTCGGATATGTTCCAAAGGATATTCGAGCTAATCAAAAATCAAATTTTCAGAACCAACCCTTTAAGGATAATAGAACCCGAGGACAACCCAGTTCTAGACCATATCAACAGCCACCTAGAACTGGACCAAACTGGTTCGATAGACTGGTTCAGAGGCACAAAAACGGTTATGGACAAACGCCTAACCGAACTTTTCATAAAAGAACAAGAGGCTTTTATGGTAAATGGAAACATAAATACGTTGATACTTATGACAACCGGGTTTGCATGCATTGTGGCAAAATCGGTCATCTACGGTATCAATGTCACTCTCGGCAAAAGACTTTAGAAAGATGCTATGATCATGTTAGATATTCCTCAAACAATTACAAAATGGAACCCAAGCAAGTCTGGGTTCCACGCGCTAACCCTTAATCCTGGAACAGCGCCGAGTGAGGGGGAACAATCACTGGTTCCTTGACAGTGGTTGTTCTAAGCACATGACGGGAGACAAATCTTTATTCCTCTCACTACGGCCATTTAGCGGTGGAAAGGTGACATTTGGAGACAACGGCAAAGGAGAGATCATAGCCGTGTGCAAAGTTGGAAAGTCACCTAGCCATGCTATCGATAATGTATTTTTAGTCAAGGGTTTGAAATTTAATTTACTAAGTATTTCTCAATTTTGCGATCGAGGTAATAGTGTTGTTTTTTATCATAACGTTTGTCGCATTGTTAATAACGAATCACAACAAGTTATACTTGAAGGCAAGAGGCTCGAAAATACATATAAAGTAGATCTTGATTCATTGCCTAATATTAGTATGACTTGTTTGAGCGTTATTGATAACGATCCTTTGCTATGGCATAAAAGGCTTGGACACGCTAGTTTTTCATTAATAAATAAACTTAAAAATAATGATTTAGTTATTGGACTGCCCAATATGAAATTTTCACTTGACCATGTTTGCTCGGCTTGTGCCACCGGAAAACAATCTCGATCATCTTTTAAAACAAAGAATTTGGTGAGCACAAGCAAGCCCATAGAACTAATACACATGGATTTGTGTGGTCCAATGTCAGTCCGTAGCCGAGGAAACAAAGAATATGTTCTGGTTATTGTTGATGACTTTTCAAGATTTACATGGACTATCTTTCTTGCTAGCAAGAAAGATACTTTTAATGAGTTTGCTATTTTTGTAAGGAAAATTGAGCATCAAACAGGTCTACGACTAATCAAGATCCGATCGGATCATGGAACTGAGTTTGACAATTCTCTCTTCGATGCCTTCTGCAAAGAACGGGGGATAGACCACAACTTTTCCGCACCTAGAACTCCACAGCAGAACGGAGTGGTAGAACGGAAGAATAGAACTCTGGAGGACATGACTAGAACTATGCTTATTTCCAGCGGTCTAGCTAGGAGTTTTTGGGCAGAGGCTCCAAACACAGCATGCTACATCATTAATCGAGCTATGATACGTCCACTCCTAGGGAAAACACCCTACGAACTGCTCAAGGGGAGGAAGCCCAACATAAGTCATCTAAGAACTTTTGGGTGCAAATGTTTCGTCCACAACAATGGGAAAGACAACATCGGCAAGTTTGATGCTAGAAGTGACGAGGCAATCTTTCTAGGATATTCCCCACATAGCAAGACCTACAAAGTTCTAAACAAACGCACACAATGTGTGGAGGAAAGCATTCATGTAATCTTTGATGAAGCACTTGTCCCAAAATCAATCCAAGCCGATGATGGTGAGCTAGGGATCACTCGCAAGAAATCACAATCTCAAGGAGATGAAGAAACTGACAATCAAACTGGTGAACCACCTCTAACAAATGAAAATGAACAATCTGGAACTGAAGAAGAACCTGGACAGAACACTGACACTGGACTTGTAGAACCGGTAGAACCAGTTCCAGATACTCTCAACAACTTGGTGGACAAACCCAACGCTCCTAGGGGTTGGAAGCTTCATAGATCACATCCGCTGGATAATCTCCTCACCGATCTAAATCAGGGAGTAACAACTAGATCTAAACTTAAAAACTTTTGTGCTTTCTCTGCTTATTTATCTCTTATAGAACCGGAGAACCATGAAGTGGCTCTCTCCGACACTGACTGGGTTCTAGCCATGCAGGAAGAACTAAATCAGTTTGATAGAAATAAGGTGTGGCATCTAGAACCGAGACCCAAGAACAAGACCGTGATAGGTCTCAAGTGGGTATTCAAGAACAAGCTTGATGAACATGGCCAAATTACAAGAAACAAAGCTAGGCTGGTTGTCAAAGGCTATAACCAACAAGAAGGAGTAGATTTCAACGAAACATTTGCACCGGTGGCAAGACTAGAAGCAATCCGAATGCTCATAGCATTTGCGGCTCATATGGGTTTCACCCTCCACCAAATGGATGTCAAGACGGCCTTCTTGAACGGATATCTAAAGGAAGAGGTATATGTAGAACAACCACCGGGCTTTGAAAATCAAGATTTTCCTAATCATGTTTTCAAATTAGATAAAGCACTTTATGGCCTCAAACAAACACCTCGTGCTTGGTATGAACGCCTATCTAAATTTCTTTTGGAAAATGGTTTTGAAAGAGGAAAAATAGATAAAACTCTTTTTCTAAAAATAAAAGATCAAGCCCTATTGGTTGTTCGAGTTTATGTTGATGATATTATTTTTGGTGCTACTAACGATTCTCTTTGTGATGAATTCTCTAATCTTATGAGTTCCGAATTTGAGATGAGTATGATGGGGGAACTTAATTTCTTCCTTAGCCTACAAATCAAGCAATCAAGTAAAGGAACTCAAATATCTCAACAAAAGTACCTCAAGGAACTCCTAAAGAAGTACGGAATGAGTGAAGGCAAAACCATGACTACACCTATGGGAACAAATGATAGGCTGGATGCGGATGAACAAGGAAAGAGCATAGACCAAAAGATGTATCGAGGAATGATTGGGTCCCTACTGTACCTCACTGCCAGTAGACCTGACATTGTTTTCAACGTAGGTCTATGTGCTCGGTTCCAGGCCAATCCCAAAGAATTTCACCTCAAGGCTGTGAAAAGGATCCTCAAATATCTCAAAGGAACTGCTGATTTATGCCTATGGTATCCTCGTAATGAGAATTTCGAACTAATTGCATATTCAGATTCTGACTTTGCAGGTGATTTATTACATAGAAAAAGTACGTCTGGAACTGCTCATTTCCTGGGTCCATGTCTAGTTTCATGGAGTTCTAAGAAACAAAACTCAATAGCACTCTCAACAGCGGAGGCTGAGTACGTAGCTGCTGCATCATGCTGCTCTCAATCACTGTGGATCATGCAACAGTTAAGCGACTACGGAGTTGATCTAAAATGCACACCAATTATGTGTGATAATACAAGTGCTATTAGCATCTCAAAGGATCCAGTCATGCATTCTCGGACAAAACATATTCATATACGACATCACTTTCTGAGAGATTGCGTGGAAAAGGGGATAATCAGGCTGGAATATTGCAACACCGAGAAACAAATAGCTGATATCTTTACCAAGCCTCTGGGAAGAGAAAGGTTTGAACTAATTAGACTAGAACTCGGTCTAATTAATTCCTAGAGTATTTGTTCTATTTCTTATTTCCTAAATTGTATAATATGCACTTAATTTCGCGATGAGAGCATGCAGGAACTTCCGGCATCATCTAAGGGGGAATAAATCGGTGTTTTAATTTAGGCATTATTTTGTTTCCTTTTGGTTGATGCCAAAAGGGGGAAACAACCAGGTGCCTTTATCCTCTATGCTACGTACTTATGTGCTTCACTATAAGATGTTGCTAATGTTGCATATTATCTTCTAACAATGCAGGCACCTATGGTTTGTCATCAACAAAAAGGGGGAATTTGTTGATTAATTAGTTTTGTTGATGACTAACCTGACTGGAACCAAGGAAAGAACTATCCTAATTCTAACCGAGCAGGTTGCCTAGTACGAGCTCATTAATGGACCTGTGCTAGAACTACTCTATGCTATTTGTGATTTAGTTATATCTACGTACATGCATGATTACGTAACATTATTGTGACACTATTGGCTTGCATAAATTAAAAAGGAAAAATACTAATGAAATATCCTTATGGAAAAGGTCTTTAATTAATACACTTTTAAGGAAAGCAATTGTTTTCAAACAACTAATGAACGTGGCATGATTTGAGGAAAGATACTTTTTGAAATATCACATGATTTGAATAAATACTTGCTCCATTTATGGAAGGATGCTATACCAATCAAAGCCTAATATCTTACCATCCGTGACTAGATATTTTGAATGGAATGATGGCTTTTAAAATATGACCCGTTGCTCTCCTTAAATAGGAAAATGAACTACTTCCTTGTTAAGGTAGTCTCTATAATAAATGTGCTTAATTTCTTGATATCTTTTTGACTAACGAAATACCTCATTGGTAACCAAGGAAGGTAATTCAAAATTGATCTACTCAAGGAAAGTGAGCCCCAACGGATTCATTCCAAGCAGCATATATATTCAAGCAACCAAAAGGAGAGATGTGTGCTGAACCGAGAAAAATACTTAGAAGAATCATTCAAGAAAAGGATCAAGTCCTTGGCGCCTGAAACTGCCCGCTCGGAGTTCTAGATAGAGTTTTTCTTTTCCCTTTCATATTGTACTTGGAATATTGAGGCTTAATTGGCTAGAGTAGCTGCCTCGGGTTAAGTGTGTGTGAGAGCTTTGTGATAAAGCTGAGAGGCTCTCTACCCGCAAGGTAGAGATGCATAACTCTTCCTAGATAGGATAGAGTTGGGGAGGCTCAAGGGTAGATTAGGAGAATCACTCTTGTAACTCTTTCAAAGGCTTGTTTAGTGAAGTTGTTTAAAATTCCTCCGAGGGAGGTCGAGGTTTTTTAATCCCTTTGAGCCAAGGGATTTTTCCTCGTTAAATTCTTGTGCACTTTACTATTTCGCAATTCCCTTTATCCCACACTAGAACTCGGCGAAAAACTGCCACGGTTCCACACACACACAATTCACCCCCCTCTTGTGTTGCTAACCGTTTTCATCATTGGACATTTGGTTATCAACAACTAAATGTATTTAAATAGAAAACATAAATGATTAACATGCAACCATTACACATGGCATCAACCACAAACTTTATGTGCAAACCATGACACTCGACCCTATGCTTGAACAATAAAACAAACGGCATGCATGCTATACAAGCCAATATTGGACAGAGCAATTATTATATCAAATACATGAATATTTAATTAAATAATTAAAGTGGCTTAGACACTATATAAGATTCCCTAACATAAGAAAATGGTACGACTAAAGAGAAGAGGAATGTGGAGGAAGAAAAGAATGTAGAATGAGAGAGACGTGAGGCAGAAATGAGAGGAAGAGAGGAAGGAAATATAATGGAAGAAAAATAGGGGAAAAACTTAGGGAAAATAAGGAGAAAATCTTGCTACAAGTTTAAGGTCTATGTTCATTCTTTCTCCTAAATTTTAATATTATTTTATACATGTTCTAAAAGTTCAATACATTGTTCTATTTAATTGATTTGTATCTTCTTAATTGGTTTTATTGTTTACTCCATTATGCTCTATTTAGATAACTATATACTATCAGCCTTGAATTGAAGAAGTTGTTATATTATTATAACTGTTATTTTTATATATATTTAGAAGTAAACTAAATTCTTTAACCAGAAACATATATAATGTTTTGATTAGATTCCTACGTAATAGTACGAAACACTTAAGTTAACTTTTGTGAAGAGAATCTCATGTTTTACGTTCTTATGTATCAAGTTTAAATTAGACAATTTATAATGATAAGTAATAGCTAATATGCATATATAAACAGTAACAACGAATCATTTTACTAATATTATAAAATGATTTTCAATCAATCATATACATAGTAGAAATATTGTTAAATTATTTGCATATGTGTACCGAGGATAAAATTAAATTAAATAATCTGTATAATTATATAAATCCGGACCTTTATGACTTCTATACATATAACGAGGTAACACGAACTTGAATACTTATAGTGTTGCGATGCATCATAAATTTATTTATGTAAAACTAATTCAACTCAGATATATTACTTATATTTGAACAAATATAAGTAATGTTAATTTTAGATGATTATAATGATGTTATTTTAAATGAGAGCCGATAATCATAATAGTTTGGCATTCAATATAAATAAAAACAAATGGAATTCGAAACCTCGTTTCTGGATTCGGATAGGTTGGCATGCCAATAGGGATAGTTAATACGGCCGTAGAATTTAATCGATTAATTACGGGTCCGCAGCCACGGAGTGGACAGTACCCGAATTATTACGTTAAATTATGGGTCCGCAACCACGGAGTGGACAGTACCCAAATCTTGAACTTTGATCGTTTCGAGTCCGCAGCCACAGAGTGGACAGTACCCAAACGAAAGGCCTGACCCACACAAAGGTCAGTGTCGTTACTACTCAGATGGTCCGCAGCCACGGAGTGGACAGTGCCAGATGAGGAATGTCACGTTTATCCAGTCCATTAAACTAAGGACTAGAATTCCAGAAACTTAATAAAAGAATAAAAAGTGTGAAAACGGACAAATGTGATAGAGAATTAAATTGAGCAAAAGATGAAATTGAGCAAATGGAAGTTGAAATGAGACAACAATAATGTTGAATGGAATATTGAATTACAGCAAGCTATGATATTGTTCATGTGAACTTGAATTAGGATATGGATATGTGAAAATGGAGGCAGAAAGAATGAAAGGGAAAATGCGAAAATAGAATTATGAAAATGAAAAAATAATATGAATATAAAAATGAAAGAAGAAGTAATATTATAAATCTAATTGAAGGATTATATTTTGCCTCATTGAAATATTTATTCTGAAATAAGCTAATTAACGTTGAATACTATGACGGTGAGATAAATTAAGGTAGAATAAAGTTATGATTTTACGCTTAATATCCTGATGAAGTTATGATTATACTTGATTATTGATCTATATCTCGTACAGAAAATTTCAAGATTAAGTCTTTAAATAAAGTATACATTGAATATCGCTTTGAAAACTATGAAGGAAATTACGAGATACTAACTCTTTACCTAAATAGTGGAATCTTAGTCAAGGTATTATGCATTTAGAAATATATTAAATTAGCTAATTTGAACAAAATGGGATAAATTGAAATAGTTGCTACAAATGAAAGGATATTATATATTTAGGAGTATCTAATTCGATCAATCTCATAACATTCCTGATAGATGAAGGTGAACATGCAAATGAAGCAAAAAAAAAATGAATTTAGTACATATTAAATCTGGTTTATAATTAGCTATTAAAGAATATATTGAATTAGTGTTGATTTACCATCCAGTACGAATTTAACTAAAAAGTTTCTTTTTGAATACATATTATTAAATGTTTTGAATATCTACTGAAAGCATAATGTACTCTTTTGAGATTTACTAGTTAACGGATGAAATCAATTTGGAGAAATGTATTTTCTTTGATACAAGTTATTTGTGTTGTTATTTTAAATTAATATATATATATATATATATATATATATATATATAGATATATATATATATATTGAGAATGTATGGAGAAAGAATGGACACCACTAAGCATTGCGTAGCGCGTTGGATTTTTGTCCTTCGCGTAGGTACATAGCTGATACGAGCCAGAGTTCAAGGAGAAAAGCATTTGGGAGCAACCTATCAATCAACACCGAGTCACACTTGCATATTAGTACTATTTCATTTTCAGTCTGCATAATAAACAATTATTAAGCATATTAGAATAATGTAATATATAGCAACACTAAACATTTATTTATTATGTATAAAATATGAATGCTTCCGAAAATATGAGATTTCTTAAAGTTATTATCACTAGCTTGTTTTTAAAATAAAAGTGTTTTTGGAATAATGAAAAAGATCATAAAAAGTTAGTCCGCGCTTTGGTGCTCCGGCACTGCGGGTAGCGCTCCCTGCCTGAGCCTTCCGGGTCGGGTAGGGGGTGTTACAAATCATCTACTTTCTTCGCCCACTCTTGAGCCTAGACTACGTGACACTGGTTCAAGTTCTTCTTTAACAGACTTCAAAATTCAAACTAAGTACATGGCCATGACAAGGCCAACGATCATCACCTCACCACCCATTTTGAGCAACGAGCCTTCATCTTCATCAGGAATGGCTCAATGCCATCATTCTCATCTCAAGACCGGTAACATCAGTTGGGTGTGTTTCAGAAAATAAAGAAAATTAATTAAAATAAATTAATTAAAATGACGAAAGAAAAGCAGAAATACGATGGAGCAGAAATTTATCAAAGCTCGTGCTAAGCACGATGTCCTTAAAACGTATTCGTTGCCTCCCACGATGCTAGGAGCGTTGCAACGACCGTTTCCCAGGATACGATGACTACGAACTAATGTTTGAGCACACAAACAAAAGTTCTAGCGAACGAGAACAAGTATGAACACTCAGGAATTTTTCAGAGACCTGGAGGTGTTTTTAGAGCTCAAAATAACGTGAGGAATGTGTATGAACATGTAAGAACACGTGTTGTTGCAAACCACCTGCAAGCCATTATATAGAAGGATTTGTTGTGTGTATATACTGAATTAATGGACTTGAACGTTGGACATCAATGACCAGTCTGTTGGGCATTGAATCATCCATGAACTGTCCATTTAACGCTGCATTAAAAGATAAGAACGTTGGACATTTATTGCTGTAACGGTTCAGAACGTTCAGCTGCGCGACCAGAAGACCCCAGCAAAACACCCTGCGAGGTGTTCTGTCCGAAGCCAGCAGAACACCCTACGAGGGGTTCTGTCTGAAGCCACCAGAACACCCTTCGAGGTATTCTGGGCTGAGGCCTTCTGTCCGAAGTTGTTCTGCCGCTGAGCACTTCTGGTTCTGGGAAAAAATAAAACGTTACGGGAAGAAACAAAAATAAATCGTATCTCTTGAGAGATAGATTTTTGGATGACATTCGTGTTCGTAGGTCGCCTGATATGCACTAGTTTATAGTGCATAAGTGTATGTTTTTATATCGATCTTGTGTAGACTTTCCATCACTTTTAGTTAGTTTGTAAGTATTTGTTTTATTTTAGTTGTAATTGTTTTTACCTTCTATTTCTAGCTATAGAATAGTGATAGAGTTTTTAGCAAGCAAAAGGGAAGAAAAGCTGAAGACAAAAATTCTCAGGAACACAGACCCGGTCGGGTCCCTTACTCGACCCGGTCGGGTCAGATTTGACCCGGAGCACCAGAACATGCTGCGGATTTGGAAAAGATCTGATTTTGGTCAAACCCGGTCGGGTCCCTTACTTGACCCGGTCGGGTCTGACTTGACCCGGACAAGTTAACGTGCTGAAAACAAGAAATCGTGGGAGATAATCTGATTTTGACCGGTGCCCGGTCGGGTATGTACCTATACCCGGTCGGGTACCCGGCCAAAGGTGTTGAAAAACACCTATAAATAGCACACTTTTTCTTCACAAAAAATCATCCCTTCTTCCTTATACTTAAGCTCAGTTTAGAATAGTTATCTCTTATATTTTTATAGTATGTTTAGTCTCCAAATGAGGAGCTAAACTTCCATTTCTTGGTTTTGCTCTTGAAGCTTGATTGATTATTAAAGTTGTGAGTTATTTTCTTACTTTCTCCTCTTGATTATTAATTCTTCCCTTAATCTCATTCTATATCATTGTTGGAGGGTGGCTAAGTGACGATTAGTTAACGTTCCGACATTGATTATTACTAGAAACGTTCAACGAACCGATGGTTAAACGTTGAAGGTTTCATAAGTAAGTAACTTCGGTTTATTAATGCACGGTCGTGGTTAATAAACTTAAGAGGGATTA